ATCATGTAGAAACTTTCTGAACAAATTGAGCAGCGTGCTTACACCTTGAAGAAATGAATTAAACTGGCTAAGATTTGACAAATGAGCGCGCTTTTCAGCGGGCCCTCGTTTTTTATCATCCTTTTTGATTTCATATCGGAAGAAACAGTTTGTCTTTTCATCCTCAAAGTTCTTCAGACGGACTGATAAATTAGTTTTGATCCGACGATGGAGTCAAACTCCGACAGCAAACAATTGCGGACTAAAAAAAGACAGCTTTTAATCATCCGATGCCGGAGCTCCACAAAAAGACATTTGCGGATGAAAAAAAGAGTTCCGATCACAGTTGAAAATAAGAAAACGGTGGAAAGAAAAAATAATTTTCCAGCTGGGTCTTGTAGGTCGGATGGGCTTTTTTCGTAGGTCGGATGGGCAATTTTCGTAGGTCGGATGGGTATTTTTCGTTGGTTGACCCAAACATGTGGCCGCAGCGCTCGGCCCCCTAGCCTGTCCTAGCCGCAGCGCTCGGCCCAGAAATGAGCTTAACCTAACCTAACCTTAAATATATACACTATTTTATTCAAAATTGTTAAAAATTGTTAAAATGAACATAAATATATAGTTCAAATGAAATATAAACCTTTTGTCTGATCATTAACTATGAAGACATTTGTATTTTTCTTGCTGACTATCGAAATCTGGAAAACTTTAATGACAATTTTTTATCTTTCAAAAATATTCTTAACATGCATGCCTCATGACCCTTTAGTAAAAGTAAATTCAACCTAAAGTCTGACCGCGTCAACCTTGTTGCACCGGCTAGTCCTTGAGTGTCTGCTTTATTTACCCATGGTCTGGGCGATACAGTACAAACTGGGACCGGAAAGGTTGACCCGGCTCGGAAATTCAAATGTACTACGGCTGCCCGTGTTACATAAATTCTTGTTATTCTCTAGAATTCAGGGGGGCGGGAATCTGCTGCACAATCATCTGATTGGTTAAAAACGCATTATTTTGATTTCAAAAACTGCAGATTACTTGAGCAAAACATATCACTATATAAAACGTGAATGTGTGAAGTACATGTTGAAGTCGCTTTATACAGTGCCTTATTAGAATGGTTAAAATTCTTTTTGACCTAAATCAAAGAATTCAATATAGCCAAAATATGTATGTAAAATATTATAAACTGTGTGCAAAATTTCTGCCAAACTAGAGATGTTCACTTTCAGAATTGCCAACAATTTTTATCTTTTTATTTTGTAATATTACTGTGAATTAACTAGAAAGACGAAAAACATTAATTTCCTGGTTATAGTTCAATGTTCTCACCCATTCAATTTGTATTTAACTTTTTATTTAAGAGAAGCGAATTATGAAATAAGCCAATGTCTAACCGTTTTATATACTTTAAGTATAACAAAGGCTAAGAGTTTAAAGGGAGTGTTCACGAAAAATTAAAGGGAGTATAGGTTTACGGCGAAAAATAAGCGCTTTTGATCGCTACTAATCTTACTTCTATAATCTGTTGCGTCTATAAGGAGAAAAATGTTAAAAACGACTCACACCGAAGAACGCAGCGTTCATACAAATTCGGAAAGATGCAACATTCAACTCGAGGATAGAAAACAAATCAATTTAATTCCAAACAAATCATTCAGATATTACAAACATTAGTCATCGATTATTTTTCGACGCATTCGTATAGTTAATATTTCATAATATTTTTGATTTTGTTTTTTTAAAATAATTTTCGCTGGCGCTGGATTTTCGAACATTCCTGGAAAAATCCTCGAAACAGGAATAAATGTTTTCAATAGTAACTCTCAGATCATGAAAAATACTTTCCAAATAACAATTAGTTTAAAGCCCTGTTTCTAGTAATAGTTTTGGTTTAAAATGTTTCTATTCAAGTCTTTATTTTTTTATTAAATTCTATTATACAAACGTTTTCGGCGTTTTTTATTGTTTAAATTGGATAATTTTTCAAATATCGTAGCAGTCGACATTTTCAATGCAAAATTTTTCAATTTTGACCATACATAAACTTTCCCTGGAGTTATGAGAGTTACCACAAAAAAATTGGGCCTAATCTGTTTAGCTGCGTATTAAAGTTTGAAACAGGCGAGCTAAATATATTATATTCTTGATCAGATCTTTTATGTTCCTTTGTTAATTGGAAATGAAACAATTTATAAATAGAAATCAGTTGAAATGACGTCTACTGCTACTACTGCATCCCCTTCAAGGAGTTAAATTGATTTTTATCAACAAAATCTTGAAAGTATGTTGAATAGACAGGTAATAAATCCCTCTAAACAAATCTAAAAAAATGCACAAAATTTTGACAAAATAAAATGGCGGACAGAGAACAAGGACTTAAAGTCCGACCTTGTAATTCAATTTGTTTTGTCAGGCAGAGGAACACAGGGTCACCAAAAAAATCGACAAAAAAATAATTAAGAATTTTGCTTTTTGATGATTAAGAAGCTATAATATTGTTAAAACAAATTCGAAATATAAGGAAGACGATTTTTCCGACTCAAATGCCGTAGCCTTTTCTCAAGATGCGTGTGTACACAAGATCCATTTCCGCCATGAAGTACACACATGGATTGCCTTAGTTCCATTGTTAAGCCCTGTTGCCCCAGTTCCTGTTGATCTGCTCCACCATCATGAAGCTCTACAACACTCCCATGAAGTACCATCAAATATCCATCATTAATTCCTTTGTTAATTTCTAAATTAACCAATTTTAACTCCGCCTTAAATGCAAATATTTCAAAACACTCGTTTTTTAAATAAAAGTTAGAAATATCCATTTTAGATCTCTTTATTTTATTATAGTGACTTTTAAAGTCAACAAATATTCATTTAAACCAAAAAAGCTGCAAACGGAAATTTTTATTGCGTAAACCTTTGATATTTCAAGCTTTTACTTCTTCATCTGGCAGGATTCATAGTGTGAAATATCAAAGGTAGTGTTTAGATCTTGTAATATTTCTGGACATACTGAACTAGCAGTAGATTTATTGTTGTTTGTTTTGAAATATCCGCCATTGTTTAGATATTTGGATAGTTTCAGTTCTATAACATATTCACTGTTAGTAGAAAGCAGTTGAGGTGTCAACACCTCCTCTCTCTGAGAGAAAGCATGCAACAGGCTTGCAAATATATTCAGGACTAGGGCCGCAACCCTTTTTACTGTCAACAAGAATGGGTTCACACCCTTTGCTAATAGTAGATGTCAAAGTCTACTACAGACAACGAGTATGGATTTCCAAAATCAAGTAAAAGTAAGGTTTTTGAAGTAAACAAACATTCAAAACAGTTGTTTTCTGTCGAATAAAAGGCTGTGTTCCTGCATAGGAATGGACACGGTTAAAAAAAAGGTCAAAAATTTAAAAACTTTAAAAACCAATTTGCAAATTTTATTTAAACAGCTTGAAGGGAATATCTACGTAATTTCACTCTCCATTAAAAAGTTTTTTACAATTTATTCTATTTTATGTTTGACCTGATCCAAAATGATGGAGTTGTTCATTTTTTTCTACATAAAATTCTATAAGTTTCAATTTCAGTTCTCTTCATGTAAAGCTACTCGTGAATTAATTTTAGTCGCAGAGATCATTCAGATATTTTTGAAAATTTACATCTTTTCAGGTGGTAACTTCATTATTTTTGAAAGGAATACAGGTTTCTTTTGTGAATCAGATGTGTAACGTTTATAACTAAGGGTTACATAAGATTAAGTCAGCAGTTCCTTTCAAAATTCATAAAAAAAAATCTATTACAGGGAAATATTAAGTTTTCTTATATCCCAAAAATATTAACTATTTTCATTAAGATTATTTCCATCCCTAGCATGGAGATGAATGTTTGCTTATCAATCCAGCCAAATCTGGACTTGGCTTATATAGATGTTTAAAAAAATTAAACAATTTATTGTTTTCTGAAAAGAAATTCATTTAAATTTAAATTTAAATATAATTTGACAATTCATATATTCAAAATGTTTTTTATTTTTTATGAAATATTTTTTATACCATTATGTATATATATATATAAATAAAAACTTCAGCGGTTAAAACTGGAATCAGTCGGTTGGAACTGACCCCACAGAATGGTTCTCAAAATGATTATTCTTTGCATTTTTATACTATTTGATGTTCTATCAATAACCTCTGGTAGAAATGTTAAGGGAGGAAAGGATGCTGATGTTCTTATTGTTGGAGGAGGGATATCTGGTCTTGCAGCTGCTGGCAGGCTGGAGAAAGCTGGACTTAAGGTAATAGCCGAGTCAAAACTAGAAAATGCGCCACATGAACACCCATGAGCCCAACATTGCTTGATATATATCGGTACAAGGATTCATATATCTAGTGTATGCTTGTACCCAGTATCTGGTGGACCCAGTATGTTTTATGCTACTAAATTAGGTGGACTGAACCTATATGTCAATATTAGGACTAGGACGTGATGGGCGGAACTAATTTGAA